TTTGCATGTCTGTCTGTATGTGTTTGTATGTATGTGTGTGTCTCTGCATGTGTGTGTGTGTGGGGGGGGGGGGAGAACATATGGAACGGAGGGTAGACATATGGGGAGCCCCAGGGCAATTTTCTAGTTACGCCTCTGTTGTGAATATATGTAATGCAAAATTAATGTAGCGTGGGGGTAAGCGCGAGCCGTCATGGGGATTAGAGGGATTCCTTGTTCCGCTGCGTTCGTCTATATTCAAGGAAATTTCCCCGGACATAGATTAGAAGGATTCCCTGCTCTTGTGCGTTTGTCTATGTTCGGGGAAATTTCCCCGAACATAGACATGCGCACCAGAGCAGGGAATCCCTCAACTGCTCACTTAACGACCAATACCGTGTCGTAAGAACAGAACCCGGTTGGTAAGTGAGGAGTACCTGTAAATGCAATTAAAATAAAATGCAGTGTCAAAACTAAACAATTAAAGTGATAGTGCTTTGGTGTATATACCCACAATGCAAATTATAGATCTGTTCTAGGAAAATTATAATTAAAGTGCCATTACTATCTAAACCCTCGTCAAATATATACCCGTGGTCACCTCCAAAGTGGCCTCTAAAGCTGGGGGGGATGGCTGGGTTGCTTTTTTATTTTGTATTCGTATGTGTGCACTGTTCCTTAACCTGTATTTTGTATAATTTTTGGTCACTACGGCAGCACCATTCCTGCAAAATGCATGTTTAGGTTTGTGCCCCCAATTCTATAGAATTTGGCACTTTTAGAAACTGTGACAGGCTCCAGTTACATAAAGCACCTCAGCAAGCTTAAAGGGACACTCCTGGCACCAATACTACTTTCATTCACTTGTTAAGTTTTGCCTCATTAAAATATGTGGGTTTGCGGTGTTTGTGTCTAAACTCTACATACTGTAACTCATTTTTTTAATGCATTTGCCCCCCTTCTTGGCAGTGAGGGGGGCAGTAATTGAGTCCCTGGTGCGCTAGCCATCCAGTTCGCAGTTCTGCCAGGTGCAGATTTGTAGACTATGGGGCAGGGCCAGATTAAGAGCCCATTGGGCCTGGTGCTGACTATTATGATGGGCATAGTTACAGAATCTTATTGACAAACACAAACAGTCATACCTCCCAAGCGTCAAGTATCTGGTGGAGGTAATGCTGGAGGGGAACTCACAGGATATAGCTATACAAAAACACATACCCTATGCTAATCTCTCGATATCATCTTTCAAGTAGTGTCCTGTGAAGGAGGATGTCGGTAGGCGTCTGGTGACATGAATTACGTAACCAGAACCATCCAAAGAGGCGAACATGCCCAAACAAGGGGGAGTGTCTGCCAAAAACATTAGATGATCAGCCTGGCATTACTGCATGTCAAGCTGCCTGCCAATCAGGCTGGCCAGCTAAGGACATACTAGGCAGACAGCATCCTAACCTTGGCATAAATGCGTCTGATACAAAAAGGTGAAAGGTCATTGTAGGACCCAGGGGCGTACCTAGAGCATTTGGCACCCGGGGCGGGTCCTATTTTTGGCACCCCCCCCCCCCTTTCTCTTCCTCTCAACTTTAAATATAAAAACAACTAAAACATGGTTTAATGTATTCAGCACTAAGCAGTGTTTGTGTCTCCTCTATTTGCTATCCTTTGTGGGATTGCCATTTTTAAGGACACCAAATAAGGTGCTATCTGCTAAACAGCACCCTCATTTGGTAGCTTTAAATATGGAAATCTCACATACGGGCACCAATTCAGGGAATGATCTACTAAACAGCTAAAGGATAAAAAAAGCCATTTTCTTATTTTCAGTTGATAAATCCCTTATTTGTTATATTTATGTGGGATTGCAATATTTGAGGACAGGAAATAAGGGAGCTATCTACTAAACACATACGCAGAGATACACACAATCACACACATAATCACAGATATACACAAGCACAATCACTGACCCACACACAATCACATACACACATTTAATAATTAAGAGGTCCACCCAGCCTCCCTACCTTGCTCTAGATGGGCTGGAGTGGATCCTCAGTCCCTGGTGGTCAGTGGTTGCTGCTGGGGTCTCTCGCACGCACGCCCTGTAATGACGCCGAGATGACATCATATCCTGGCTGACGGCTCATTGCAGGGCGAAGACCGTCAGACACAGTCAGATGCACACAGTCCCACACACAGTTACAGGCAGACTGTCAAATACGCAGGCAATCACACAGGCAGACAGTCACACACACACAAAACAGTCACAGACAGTCACACACACAATCACAGGCAGACAGTCACACACACACCCACAATCACAGGCAGTCACACACAGTGACACACACACAGAGTAACACAGACAATCACAGGCAAACAGTTACACACACACAGTGACACACACAATCACAGGCAGACAGTCATACATACACATAACACAATAACAGACAGTCACACACACACACACACCCACACACAATCAGTCAGAGTCACACACACAGAGTTACACAGACAATCACAAGCAGACAATCACACAGACAATCAGGCAGACAATCACACACACAGTCAAAGACAGTCACAATCACAGTTACACACACACAGCACTCTCTCACACTCTCTCACTTACAGTAAGCTTGGGCTGGAGGAGGAGTGGATTCAGTCCCTGCTGTGCTGTAGTTGGGGAAGCAGGGACTCCTTCCTGCTTCCCCTCTGTGTGCAGCAGTATTTAGCTGCGCCCCCACATCCGGCTTGGCTCCGCCCCCACAGCCGATCTGGCCCCGCCCCCAAATGTCAGTGCAGCCAGTTCTCCTGCTGTATTCACTGCTCCTGCATGTGAGCTGTGTCGGCTGCCCGGCGCCCCTGCTGCTATGGCACCCGGTGCAGCCACACAGCTCACTGACTCCCAAGTCTGGCCAGCCCTGGTGGCACCCCCCTACCTGATGGCACCCGGGGCGGGCCGCCTTCCCCACACCCCCCTTAGTACGCCACTGGTAGGACCCGCCTAGGGGGGTCTGCCTTGACATTGGCAGGCGGGCATTCCTTCCAATGGCCATTGGAGTAACTAAATGACCTCCATTTGTTTAAATATACATAGGGACTTAGGAGAGAGCGCAGGTAACTTTTTCTTTTGTTTATAAATGCATCTAATGATGCGCTCGCTGCACGCTTTCTAAGGACAGTTCCCTAGCACTCACTTGTAGAAGAAAGGAAACATGCCACAGTGTTAGAGAGACTAAAGTAACAAGAGTGTTTGCATAGTGCGCAAATTCAGCTTTACCTTAACTAATATTGTTAGCTAGTCTACATGAGTTTTGTTCCCCTAGATTCCTCTTACGTTTCCATACTTAAAGGGAAACTATAGTGCCAGGAAAACAAACTTGTTTTCCTGGCACTATAGATTTACTCTCTGTCAAGGCCCACCCCTGCTCACGCTCTTCCCCTGCCGGTGGCAAAGACCATGCTTGCATTAGGATCTCCCCATAGGAAAGCATTATTCAATGCTTTCCTATAGGGAAAATCTGACACTGGAGTTCCTGGAGGTGGAGCGTGAGGACGTCCAGCATCAGATAATGGACCAAAAGTCAGTTTCAATTCCAGAAGTCCCTCTAGTGGCTGTCTGGCAGACAGTCACTAGAGGAGGAGTTAACCCTCAGAGGTAATTATTGCAGTTTATAAAAACTGCAATAAATAACACTGCAGGCTTAAGGGTGATGGGAGTTTGCACCCAGACCACTCCAATGATTTGAAGTGATCTGGGTGCCTACGGTGTCCCTTTAAGCAAGAGCATGTGAAGAGTACTAATATTTGTTTTTAAAAAAATAATAATTTAATCAATGGGCTTATTCCATGGGCATGGGCCTGGAGCTGCAGCTCCATCAGCCCCTATGTTAATCCGGCCCTGCCATGAGGTAATTGCCTCGCAAGCTCATGAAGTGTCAGAACTTTGCCTGGTAACCCACGGCAATGCTCTGATTGGCTGGAGCTCTGCACCAGACAGAGCTGCAGATTGGAGGCTGCAGGGCTCTCCCTCTCTGTGCACACTGCATGGAGGGGCCTGCACCCGGTGGCACACAAGGCAGGCCATTGGGCCTCCTCCCCTCCTGCCCGAATCGTGAGGCCTTAGGCGGCCGTCTAACTCGCCTAATTAGAGAGCCGCTTCTGTTCCTGGTTTCTTCAGAGTGCACAGTATCCAGACTACCATATCTGTCACTTCACAACAATCAAGGTTAAAGTGTTGGGAAATCCAAGTGAATTCAAAGTAAATCTCACATCTAAGACCAAAGTAGCCACACTGAGAGTATTTTTCATGTTTGGCTATCTTGACCTTCATGGACCACTGATACCTCAACACTATCTTGTTTATAATGATCCTTTCATTATGTTTTGTAAGGAAATACATTCTTTGTTAAATTAAATATTTGTTAAAAAAAAAAAAAAAGGGAGAATATCATCCCTAACTTTGGTATATGTCAGGACCCTTCAGCCACATACATCGACCTTGGGTCAGACATTGTTTGAAAACAGACAGTGTCTATGGTCTTCCCAGTGTCACTCCCTGCACAGTGCAGTGACATCATCAGACCAACTAAGTGACACAGGCAAACACTGTCTGACCCAAAGTGCGTGTATATGGCTGAAGGATCCGGTCACGTATCAGGATTAGGTGGAACAGACTCTTTGAGAGCTTTGCAACCAAAACATCTACACGAAAACAAAAACCCAGAATATCGTAAAAATAGTACAATAGAGTGTTTGCTAGAAAAAAACAGCTTGTGTCAAAATATGCATAGTAGAGGTTTATGTTGAAAAGCTTGTCTACAAGATGGAATTTAAATACAATTGATGACCTGATAACACATTTTAAAACATATTGCTATTTGCATAAATAAGGGTAAAATATTGAAATGCTTTCGGAACATAATTACACAAAATAAACATGCAAAGAAAAAATTGTATCAACATTACCCTGCATTAATGGCTTGAAAATGATTTAATAGTACAAATAATGGATAATGCAGATGCTGAATATGTAAATGAGTGCCTATAAATAAATTTTCCTTGCAGTGGAGACAGGACACATGGAAGATTCTTTCTTGAAAGGATGGACTTCCTACCTATATGATCACTCCATAACCAGTCTCCACATTGTCATCTTTGCTATAAGACCAATAACCCTTTTGGGCGTATGTACTAAAGTGAGAATTGTCAGAAATTTAAGGTGAATTTAAAGGCCAGAGTAGCCATACTGAAGGCATAGTGGCCTTAGAGAATTGTTCCATTTTACAATGTTGGCCTTAAAAAGACACTAAAGTCATCCAGACCACTTCATTCCAATGACAAAACTGCAATGTTTACATTACAGTGTTAAATCTACCATTGGTGGCTGTCTTCAACACAGCCACAAGAGGCGCTTCCGCTGCACTGACCAAATAAAACTATTATGTGACGTATAAGCCCATAGGAAGGTATTGAATACAATGCTTTTTTGGACGAAAGCTCAGCTGCGCATGCAGCTTGGGGGAGTCTTGGCGCTGGAAAATGTAAGTAAAACATTGATTTTATGAATATTTTGGCAATGGGGGGACTGGGGCGGGGGGAGAACTACTATAGATAGGGACAGAGACACTATAGAGTGAGGAATACAGGTGTGCATTGTTAATGGTATAGTGTTCCTTTAAATCTGACATTCACTTTGAATTCTTTCTTTAGTCAATAACCCTGGATAGTTGATATATAATATAGAACAAACATGACAAAAAGTATAATGGACAATTTCTTGCAAAAAATGTCATAAGTAGCAACAGAAGCTAGACGTACAATCAAATATACTATGAACTTAGTGGACTACTTTTAACCCTGTATTTCAGTAACCATGTGATTTAGCAATGTATTAACTTACAATATTAGCTAAACACAGATCTAAAGAACAGTGTGTGCAATTTGAAAAGGTGTATAAATGACAGCATTTTATGCATCTTCCCTTCATGCTGACATCCCATAAACACATAGTAATTGTATGCTTTATTACAGTGTTTCCCAACCCAGTCCTCAAGGCACACCTACCAGTCCAGGATTTAGGGATTACCCAGTTGTGTCTAAGGTGTTTTTACAAAGAAGAAAAAAACACCTTAGACACAACTGGGTAATCCCTAAATCCTGGACTGGTAGGTGTGCCTTGAGGACTGGGTTGGGAAACACTGCTTTATTAGATCACAAAATAACAAGACGTGAACTTGCCATTAAAGAATAGTTTATTTTATCCACGGACCTGAGAATGCAAAAGAGCAGTACACAAATTATAGTTTACAACAAAACCTATATGTGTATGTACAAAACACAAGCAAAGAGATAGAATTTACATTCACGCTCGCACCACCTTATTGATTTTTTAGAAATAATGCAGCCCCACACTGAATCCACTGGTTTTTCATTCTTCCACAAGGGACATCAATATTTGTCACTACACGGTCTCTTTCTGCGCTGGTGTAGACTGGTAAAGAAATGCATTCATCTGGGGAATAGGTACTGAGCGATTGCTGTTGGAAAAAAAAATATATAGTGACCTTTAAATCAAACAGCCATTACAATGGTCATTTTAAAGAAACTATGATGTTCCATTGCTTGCACAGTTTATATAGAAAAGCACTACAGGTGCTTAACCCCTTAAGGACCAAACTTCTGGAATAAAAGGGAATCATGACATGTCACACGTCATGTGTCCTTAAGGGGTTAAAGGGGCTCTCCGGGCACCAATACAACATTAATGCATTTTATAGATTTTGTCATAGAAACTTAGAAACATAGAATGTGACGGCAGATAAGAACCGTTCGGCCCATCTAGTCTGCCCAATTTTCTAAATACTTTCATTAGTCCCTGGTCTTATCTTATAGTTAGGATAGCCTTATGCCTATCCCACGCATGCTTAAACTCCTTCACTGTGTTAACATCTACCACTTCAGCTGGAAGGCTATTCCATGCATCCACTACCCTCTCAGTAAAGTAATACTTCCTGATATTATTTTTAAACCTTTGCCTCTCTAATGTACGACTATGTCCTCTTCTTTTAAATATAGTCTCCTTTTTTACTGTGTTGATTCCCTTTATGTATTTAAATGTTTCTATCATATCTTCCCTGTCTTGTCTTTCCTCCAAGCTATACATGTTAAGTTCATTTAACCTTTCCTTGTAAGTTTTATCCTGCAATCCATGAACCAGTTTAGTAGCCCCTCTCTGAACTCTCTAAAGTATCAATTTCCTTCTGAAGATACGGTCTCTAGTACTGCGTACAATACTACAAGTGAGGTCTCACCAGTGTTCTGTACAATGGCATGAGCACTTCCCTCTTTCCCTATACAACCAATAATTCTGCTAGCATTTCCTGCTGCTCTATTACATTGTCTGCCTACCTTTAAGTCATCAGAAATAATCACCCCTAAATCCCTTTCCTCATATGTTGAGGTAAGGACTCTATAAAATATTTTGTACTCTGCCCTTGGGTTTTTATGTCCAAGATGCATTATCTTGCACTTATCCACATTAAATGTCAGTTGCCCCAACCATTTTTCTTCTAGTTTACCTAAATCATTTGCCATTTGGCTTATCCCTCCTGGAACCTCAACCCTGTTACATATCTTAGTATCAGCAGCAAAAAGACATACCTTACCATCAAGACCTTCTGCAATATCACTAATAAAAAAATTTAAGAGAATGGGTCCAAGTACAGATCCCTGAGGTAACCCACTGGTGTCATCATTAATATGTTGTATTTTTTAAAAGCTCAAATCTTGTACAAGAATGATGTTTTGCAGAGTGATGCAGCATAAGCCTGCCTCCTTAGCTATGCCCCATCATGCCAGAAAGAATACTGTATCAAATGTCTCAGCCCCAACAGCAGAAAGTCAGAGAAACTATAACGGTTATCCTGACTAATTGCCTCACTAGGTGTCCTCTCCTTTTAATGCAGGTTGTTTTGTAGTTCAGATCATCCAGCACTGTCAGTGGCTGAGCTGTTTACACACATTTGATAAGGAAGTATTTTTTCTGGTGCGAGGGGGTGTGGCTAAGGAGGCAGGATTATTTTGCAGCATTCTGCAAAACATTTTATTTTATTCTTTTTAAATGCAAAAACTATAAATAAAACAGCATTAAAGTTATACTGGTGCTTTCCATTTAAATGTACCAGTAAAGTTAATGGCTATTTTTATTTTTATACACTTTGCTATAACAAACTGCAGTCTTCCGATCACAAAATGTAAAATTGGTTATTATTGTTTATTTTCTTATTACTTAGCATTTTCTGAATATTTTGAAATATCAACTAACCAATCAGGAGGCTGCTTTGATATTAAATGGATATTTTTGGCTTGTATTCTCCCTCCTCTCCCTTTGGCTAAAAAGCAGGATTGACATTTTCTATCAAATGCATGGACAGTTTCTATAAAATCCACATAGTAAGGCATTACTAATATCGTCAGTATTCAAAAGGCACCAAAAACGTAATCAAGATTCTGAATTTTTTAAACAAACATCAAGTGATGCATTAGTAAGCCATATTGCAAAACATTAAAAGTGGTTTGTTTGTCTCAGCTGGCAAATTGTATTAATAAATAACACTCCTCTAAAATCTGACACACTCCTCTAAAATCTGACATTGATTATAATAGACAGTGATACACAGTCAGGGAAATAGAACTGAATCACATCTCTATGGAATAGCAAAGGTAACAGTTTGCCTTAGCAATCTCCTACTACAAACAGGAACAGCAAACAAAATTCATCCCAGCTTACACTATGTTCCTGGATCTCAATTTATTGGATTGGATGCTGAAAATGAAAGTTGCAAGCAGGGCCGCCATCAGGGGGTGACAACCGTGACTGTTGTCACGGGCCCAGCGGCCTTGGGGGGCCCGGACTGCTCTGGCAGTCCTGGGCCCCACTTTGTTTCTCTGCACCCATAGATAGCGAATATCGCTATCTATGTGTGCAGCCGCGGGCCCCCGGCTCCCTGTTACCGCAGAGGGGGCCCAGGCAGCACACAGCTTCTCCTCCTGTCTTCTTTCGTACAATAACTCTCGCGAGACCCGGTTACCATGGCAACGCTCCGCGGGTCTCGCGAGAGTTATTAGAAGAGGAGAAGCTGTGTGCTGCCTGGGCCCCTCTGTGGACGGTAACAGGGAGCGGGGGGGCCCCCACCGGACCACCACAGATGGAATCTCCCCCCTCCATGGACACAGGTAAGCAGGGAGGGGGGATACACATTTAATTAAATTAATTAAAAATTAATGTTAAAATGCCCCTTCCTCCCCCTTCCCCCCCAGATCACACATTTACACACACACTGCATACACTAACACAACACACACACTGCACACACTAACACAACACACACACTGCATACACTAACACAACACACACTGCATACACTAACACAACACACACACACACTGCATACACTAACACAACACACACACACACACTGTATACACTAACACAACTCACACTGCATACACCAATACAACACACACACTGCATACACTAACACAACACACACACTGCATACACCAATACAACACACACACACTGCATACACCAATACAACACACACACTCTGGATACACTAATACAACACACACGCTGCATACACTAACACACACACTGCATACACTAATACAACATACACTCTGTATTACACTACACACTAACACACTCACTGCATCCACTATACTGACACACACTCTGTTTCGCTACACATTAACACACTCTGCATTCACTACACTAACACACACTCTGCATCCGCTACACTAACACACACTCTGCATCCGCTACACATTAACACACACTCTGCATCCGCCACACACTAACACACTCTCTGCATTCACTACACTAACACACACTCTGCATCCGCTACACACTAACACACTCTCTGCAGTCACTACACTAACACACACTCTGCATCCGCTACACACTAACACACTCTCTGCATCCACTACACATTAACACACTCTCTGCATTCACTACACTAACACACACTCTGCATCCGCTACACACTAACACACTTTCTGCATTTACTACACTAACACATACTCTGCATCCGCTACACACTAACACACTCTCTGCATTCACTACACTAACTCACACACTCTGCATCCACTACACACTAACACACTCTCTGCATTCACTACACTAACACACACTCTGCATCCGCTACACACTAACACACTCTCTGCATTCGCTACACATTAACACACTCTCTGCATTCACTACACTAACACACACTCTGCATCCGCTACACACTAACTCTCTGCATTCACTACACATTAACACATTCTGCATTCACTACACTAACACACACTCTGCATTCACTACAAATTACACACACTCTGCATTCACTACAAATTTACACACACTCTGCATTCACTGCACTAACACACACACTACATTCATTACACTGACACACTCTGCATTCACTACACACTAACACACACTCTGCATTCACTAAACTATGCATACACTCTGGATTCACTATACACTAACATACACTCTGCATTAACTGTACACACAGCATCCACTACACAAACATCCTGTATTCACAGTACACACACTACATCCACCACACATTGAAACACTCTGCATTCACTATACACAGACACTGCGTCTAATACATGCACTACATCCACTACAGACACTGCACCCACTAAACACATTTCATCTAGTATATACAAACACTACATCCACTACACAAACACACACTACATCACTGTACACACAGTATATCCACTACTCAAACACACTCTGCGTTCACTATACACACTGCATCCGCTACACAAACACACACTCTGCATTCACTGTACAAACAGTATCTAATACACACAAACACTACATCCATTACACATATTCTAATTCACTTCCACTATACACACCACATTTAGTCCTGCATCATTGTCAGCGGACCAGGTAGGGCGTGGGCGGGCCCGGGAGTGAGGGGGGGCCCAGACCTTGTGCTTTGTCAGGGGCCCCAAAATTTCTGATGGCGGCCCTGATCTGGGGATAGGTTGAATGTGGGGGTTCTGTTCAGTTCAATAGGAGTTATGTATTTTTGTGTCTTTTTGTGTCTTTTGCTAACATGTGGTTAATGGAGTCTGCCTCCATCCCTGGATAATTGGATTACTTTCCCCATTGTCCAGGATAGAGGCCTCTGTAAAACCGGTTTGGGCCAGAAAACCATGCTGCCAGCCAGGCCCCAAAAGACACTTTTGCTAACTTTTGAACCCCTTGTTGCTCCCCTGAATGGATTGATTCTAAATATGTAATTTTATGAAGATTGTATGTGTAGTTTGAAAGTTATAGTACATGTATAAAAACTGTATTTTTACTGCCTGTGTTTAATTATGTTAACCCATTGTGTGCCATAATTAGATCACAGGCAGAGGGGAGGATTTTTGTGTGTAATTGCTGGGAGTGTTTCTGTAATGTACGTTTATGATTGGTTATTCTGTAAACCCCTGTGGGTGGTCCTATCTCAGGGAAACCTGCATAAAAGAAGGCCCTTTGGTGCCAAGTA